TTTCTAGCGCCGGCAAAATTTGAAAACTAATACAAAAATATGTTATTTAATTTTTTTAAAATAATACCGCAATCAATATTTTTAATTGTAGTTAATTTGTTTGCACAATTAGTCTTTATTACACTGATACTATATATACCAAATTATTATCATTATTATGAGAAACTAGAAATTACCTAACTCATGGCTCTGGAGTGTTATCCTGTCATGCCTAGTACTGATATGAATTAGTAACCGTGACGGCCGACAGTAGCCTTGATTCGATGCGCAATCATCTCGACTACGTCTCGCCTTTCAACCCTTAAAAAATAGGCAAAGATAGACTTGACTTTGTTACCCGTAGAGGTCAATCCTACGATACTGAGTCAAATATAGCGAGAAAATAAAGGAGTTGCATACAGATTACTTTAGAATGAGCTAGCACATTTGGTCCCAGCATGTGCTGCTCATTCTCTTAATTTAGTTGGTACTAATGCGGCCAGGTTCACTATTGTGGCTCAGAATTTGTTCGGAACTTTGAACGGTATATATTCTTTCTTTGCGACGTTAACTTGGCGCTGGGAAGTTCTCCGAAAATGTGTACCATTGTCATTGAAACCTGAAAGCATGACCACATAGTTTGCAAGATTAGATGCGGCCAAAGCTGTGTAACATTATGGTAAAGTTGTGCAGAATCTAGATCTTAAAAATCATGATAGTTCAAAATTCATCAGACATGTGACAGGTTTAAGGCTTTGAACAACATAAACAGTGAGTTTAGATTGTTTAATGAAGGTTGAATTGAAGAAATCCAAATATAAGATCTAAAAATAAAAGCAGAAGAATTGGTAGGCATCTATAACGCTATCAACATTAAAGAATTTTAAATAAAAGTTTTCAAGCATCACGCTTTATCATGTGGCGAATATTTAAAGAAAACCACATCAAAGATAAATCCTATTTATAAATATAAACTATAGGAAGGCTACCCTAACATTACTACTGCACTGAGAATGCTTCTCATGCTGCTAATCACAGTACCATCTACAGAATAAAGTTATAAGTAAACTCAAAGAGGGGTGTAGGGTTGTGTTATAGAGATAGTACCTTTCATCGGAACGACAACATCGAGCGCCATAGACGGGAGATGGTTCTTGATAACTGGTCCTCATAAGACACCCAACTCTCACTTATGGCTCCACGTGCCACACCCTGGGCAACTGCATTGGTCTGCAGGCTAAACTAAGTGAGAGTAGCCAGATATGGTGAAAATAGCAACGTCTCTACCCAAAATGGGCGGTTGAAGCAGCATGAAGGAAGGCAACGGGATACCACCTTCATTATATTTCCCAAGACAATCACATGAATACATTCAACTCAAAATTATCCGGAGGTATAAATAGTTCCCCAATCGGATCTCCGGGGGGAGCGGTCTTGAATGTTTCAAACGTACGAGCAAACTTAAGAAAGACATTAAAGATAGGCACCTGGAATGCACGCAGCTTATTTGAAGCCGGGAAGCTGGCTAACCTAACTCAAGAAATGATCAGATTTGATCTAGATATCCTTGGGATCTCAGAAACCTGGTGGCCTGGATCCAGTAAATGCACTACATTCACAGTACATTCTTTTATTCAGGCAATGATGACCGCCATCATAGAAAAGGTGTCGGGATTATGATAACTAAAAGAGTGGTGAGAGCTGTCACAGAGTTTGTACCATATTCCGACCACACAGACTTAGTAAAATTTAAAGCGAAGCCAAATAATCTCAAGATCATATAGGTTTATGCACCAACTACAGACGCATCAGATGAAGTAGTGGAAAACTTTTATAGTGAAATCAAAGAACTTTTTTTTTCTGTAATATGGCTTTGGCAGAGCCAATTAGCCAGACTTATTTGTTTTTATTGTTAAAATCGATTGAATTTTAATTATTAGTGATTGCAGATTCATAGTCAAAATTTTCTTGTTATAAGTTATCAATGTTAGTACTACATATACCTAATATTTATACATAAATTGTAAATTGACAAAGAAACATGATGTCAACATAATTATGGGAGATTTTAATTCCAAAATAGGGAAGGGCAGCTTTGAAGACATAGTTGGACCCTATGGTCTTGGAACAAGGAACGAAAGGGGCGACCGACTTATACAATTTTGTCAAGAAGAAAACATTAGAGTTACCAACTCATGGTTCCAACTCCACCCCCGTCGCCTTTATACTTGGAAATCTCCAGCCGATAGAGCTCAGAACATAATCAGAAATCAAATAGACTTCATTCTTATTAACGGTAGATTCAGCACAACTGTCAAAAGAGCTTGCACATACCCTGGAGCAGATGTCCCTTCTGACCACGTACTATTAGTGGCCGTCATAAAGATCGCTCTTTCATGCAAGAACAAGCCTGAAACTCAACAACAGATAGCACTGGACAAACTGAAAGACCCAATGATACAAGCAGAAATGATGAAATAAACGCACAAATTCAAATATTGACGACAAACATTGCCGAAGATCTAACACCAACATGGAATACGATTACAAGTGCTGTAACAGACATCATGAAAAACAACTTAGGGTACAAACGAAATAACAAGAGGCAAAAATGGATGACAGAAGAAATACTATTACTAATGGAAGAACGACGAAGATACAAGAATAACCAAGATGGCAGCAATATGTATGAAAATATTAACAGGCAAATAAAAGCCAAAATAAGAATAGCAAAAAATGAATGGCTTAAGCAACAATGTATAGATCTAGAACATTTACAACGACAGCACGACGACCGTAATTTACATAAAAAGCTTAAGGAGACTGCTGGAATATACAGAAAACGAAGACCAACTACCATAGTTAATCAGGATAACCAGATAGTGCTGGGTGAAAAGGAGAAAATTGATATATGAGAAAATTATATCCAGGAGCTCTTCCATGACGAAAGGCCCATGAGTGAAGTTTATACAGACGACCAGCTGACTGGCCCTTCAATCACCAAAGAGGAGATAGAAAAGGCAATATTAAATTCAAAAAACAATAAGGCACCTGGACCAGATGAAATCCCGCCAGAAATACTCAAATTACTGGATGAAAGGGGAATTTCAGCAATACACAAAATATTTAACTTAATTTATGAAACTGACTGCTATCCTCAACAGTGGTTACGCTTTACCTTTATTCCCCTACCCAAGAAAGTCAATGCAAAAATATGTGAGGATCACAGACTCATTAGCCTGATGAGTCACACTTTAAAGATATTCTTAAAAATACTACATCAAAGATTATAAAAAATGTGAATGGGACATCAGCGACTCCCAGTTCGGGTTTAGGCAAGGTTTAGGAACACGAGAAGCAATAGTAACAACACAGGTGCTGGTCCAAAATTGTTACGATCAGAAGAAGGATGTGTTCCTATGCTTTTTAGGTTACCAAAAAGCATTTGATCGTGTCCAACACCACAAGTTAATGCAGATCCTCAAGTAAGTTGATATAGACCAAAAAGACATAAGATGCATTGAAAACTTGTACTGGCATCAAACGGCACAGTTAAAAATAGACAATTCTATATCCAAACCCATACATATAAGAAGGGGCGTTCGACAGGAATGTGTGCTTTCCCCTCTTTTATTTAACATTTATTCGGAAGCCATATTTCAAGAGTCTTTGGAGAATGCAAAGATGGGAATCAAAGTGAATGGAGTATTGATCGACAACATAGGATATGCTGATGATGGTGTCTTAATTTGTGACAACATAGTCGATCTTCAACAACTTGTCACTATAATCGGAGAATACAGTAAGCGAATGGGATTAGAGATTAATACCAAAAAAACCAAATTTATGATCATCTCCAGAAACTTGGATGCACTTGAAAACTCCACCATAACACTGAATACTAAGTCCATTGAAAGAGTGAGTAAATTTAAATACCTTGGATCGTGGCTTTTTGAAGACTGGGCATCGGACAGGGAAGTAAAATGTCGCATTGAGCAAGCTCGACAAGATTTCGTAAAATTCAAGAAGGTACTGACTTGTATAGAGTTCGATCTTCAACTGAGACTAAGGTTTACTAAGTGCTACGTGTGGTCAGTGCTGCATATGGCGTAGATGGCTGGACACTCAAAACGAGGGATATAAACAGATTAGGAGCTTTCGAAATGTGGCTCTATCGCCGTATCCTAAAAATACCATGAACAGCGAAAATCACAAATATAGATGTCCTTAAAAGAATAAACCAAGAACGCCAACTTTTCGGAACCATCAAAAAAAGGAAAACGGCGTATCTAGGTCACATCATGCGAAATGAAAAATACCAGTTCCTCCAACTTATAATCGAGGGTAAAATTGAAGGCAAGAGAGGAATGGGACGCAAGAAAATGTCCTGGCTCTGAAATATAAGGCAATTAACAGGGCTTAACGACATACAATCTCTAATACATATTGCAAGAAATAGAGAATTAATGGAAAATGTGATCGCTAACATCCATTAGTGGATTTGCATCTGAAGAAGAAGAAACTCAAAGAGAAGTATAATTTAAGTATAAAATCAATTAAATACAAACGAACCCCCCTTATTAACATTGCAATATCATCAGTACATTTGCAGCTATGAAGGCTCCAAGAATTAAATTTTGAGATGCAATACATAAACTTTTGCGCAGTTGCAGTTGAGGTAATATACAAACACATTATTTCTACTGTTTATGTACAACTACATTCATATAAGCGTTTTCCAATATAACTAAAATGTATGTATTAATATGTATAAGTATATTTCATAAATAAAAACTTCTTAATAGCACACATATGGTGTTTTATTTCAACTAACGCATCTAAAAAATAACTTACATTGGTATTATATCTTATGCGCTGGTAGGTGATCAGGAAAGGGAGCGACAAACTAACTAACCTTGCCCCCAAACTGACAAATCTCCTAGTTTCGGCCCTGAGTATATTCATTTTATTTTGTGAATGAAATTTCGAATAATATCTAATAATAAAATAAAGAAAATTTTGTATAATTTTTATTGTAATGTTTAATTAATTTAAAACTATATAACAGACTAATAAAAATGATTCTATTGAAAAGAATAACTACCCTGGTTGTTTGACTGTTGTTCTCCTAAAACTGAGGGATCTTCCATAGGGGGAAGTTGGGGCTGAAACTGTTCGGCAGAAAGTCTGGTAAATAGTATACCGACACCTTCTATTAAAGCTAAAAGCACACCCCCAATAAAGGCGCTGCCTGCCATTGCTGGAAGACCATTTCTTGCCGCTAGTATACCTTAAAAATAAAATATTGCTTTAAAGATAATCCAAAGTATTCTAAAGTATTCCTAAGAAATGGATGATTAGTTGGAATATTGATACCAAAAATATACATGAACTGTTATGGAAAACTATTTAACTTTTTCCAAGCAGAGCCAATGTTTCACTAAGAATAGCATCTACATAATCATTGCTAAAATCAACTTAAAGAATCAAAGAATTTTTCAAAATCACCATTAATCAACAAATAAATAACTAATAAGCATTATTCTCAAATAAAGAATTCTCTCGAAGAACTGAACATTATGTCGACGACAACGCTACATTATCTCTTTAGGAGCTGCAGGAGAAGGTCCCACCGAATGCACCAGTTTTCATTCGGCTTAATTGTGTCGTTAAGTTCAGAGAAATAAAATACATCCTTGATTAAAAATAGTATTTGAACAAAATTTGTTTGTGGGGATATGTTGACAAAAAAAATTAGAGTAAACTTCATAAATAATCTCAAAATTTAGAAGAACTCGGACTAAATATTATCGAAATTTTAACATCGACATCTCCTGTCACGAGGAAAAACATGAGACTATAATTTTATGATCGTTTAAGAATTTGTGTAAAGATTATGTTCGAGGTATTCAATTTTGGCTGTTTTTATTGTGGTTAACCACACTTTTCCTTTTTGCATTCTTAATAAAACGTCCTGGTTAGTAACGTGGTCGGATCTTCAGGATTCGACGATAAAGCTACATTCCGAAAGTTTCAATTTTATTGTAGGTAGCGTCTGTGAGAGCTCACGACTCAACTCCGTACAACAGTAAAGGAAATATATAACATCGTAGTAACCTGATTTTATGGGTACTGATAATAGATAGCTTAGCTATTTTTTGAAATGCAGATTTTGCTTTCTCTATCCTACATTTGATTTCTAATCTCCCCAATTTTCATTGATGTTCGTACTCAGGTAGGTGTATGTTTTTACGCTTTCTATTTGTTGACAATTCAAATTGATTGTTTCAATTTGCTGTTCCTTCTTAGAGATCATCATATATTTTGTTTTATTAATGTTCAGTTAAAGTCCGTATCTCTGACTCACGTCTGTGATTAAATTTATTAACTCCTGGACGGCTTCATAACTGTCAGCGAATACCACCGTGACATACCCGTATCTGATGTTATTGATACATTCTACAAGTACAACACCATAACAACATTCAAAACAACCAATACACTGAGATCTAACCTGTTCAAAACTAAACCTGTGAATGCAACAATTTTCATGTGGGAGGAACTGCAAGACCACTAAGTGTCAGGATATCACAGATATTCAAACATGCCTGGGACAATAAGCACAGAGTACAATGGAAAGATGGATTAATAGTCATGAAAGAAACAGACATGAAAAAGAGAAAAATGACAGAATCAGCTCTTATCCTACTTAATGAAGAAAAATGTATAGCAATCCCATCAGCAGAATGTAATTCTGCTGCTGTATTAAAAACAAAAAAGTCTTACAGTATAAATAATTTGTACCTAATATAAATGTAAGTATTAAAAACTTAAAGATATAAATGAACTGAGTTGATCTTGGACTAACCTACTGACATTGGGAACGAATGAATTGTTTTGCATATCTAACATATAAATAAGAATGCACATACAAATGATGATCACTGTGTATTGGGTTAAGTTATAATTCATACTAGTAAATAGTTTGTTATTATTTACATTTAAGTTCAGTTAATGTTCGTTACTATATAAAACCAATAAAGTAATGTAGTTAAATTAAATACATTTTAGTCTATTTACTTAAGCCCAAAAGGCACCTCCTCATAACATCACACGGTTTATTAATATAGGAGGGCAGATAAAGCCGTCAGTCCGATTATGTAAGTGGTCGTGTTAGGGCGCCTAACTTTACTTTACGGTACCCAAAGCATCTCGTCATTTTCTTTAATTTTAGTCTAACTTCAACTATTTTTTAAACTTTTAACTCAGTAGTTATTGTGCAGGTAGGTTATGCATAAATTATTACAAGCTTTTGTGCACACAACACATAAAAATTTACATTTTTACAAGTCTAATTACACTTTGATAACTTATTCTGATATAACTTTTAAACGCTTTTAATATGCAAACCTTACCTCCTGTTGCTGCTCCACTGATAATGGAATTCCAAGGATCTTCCTTCTTTCTTATGTGGATTAGGGCACAGTCTATGGTTGAAAACATTCCTCCCCATACTGCAAAATTACCAGCAATTATAGGAGATCTCTGTTTAATTGCAGTTACACTACCAATCTACAAAATGAGATCATAAAATATGTCATATTATGTGTAAAGATAATGCCTAAATAAATAGCTGGAGTTACTACGCAAAATAAAAACAAAACAAAATCATTATGTATCATTAGTAGGGGAAGGGGAGGCACATGTGGACAGAGGCACAAGTGTACAATTGATTTTTTCCGTCTAGATTTCTTTTCGAATGGTTCTAACTCACTCTTCTATGCCAAGAAATACATTCAATGTCAGTTGCAATTTGTTTGTCTCACGAGGTTGTGTTATTTTTGCCGCGTAAAAGTAGTTTTAGAAAAAGTAGTTTTAGAAAAAGTAGTTTTAAAAAAAGTAGTTTTAGTAAAAACAGTTTTTTAGAGATTGTAATATTATTTAGTGACATTCTGTGTTTCCTTGTAAAGTGCATTGTATTTTGAATATTGTCATACTTATTTGATATCAGGTAAGTTTCTACAGTTTTGTTTTAGTCATAACCTAAAAACAGATATCCCATACTTTTGAAAAACTACCTTTTTTTTTTAAACTAACTGAAAGGTAAAAAAAAACTTTTTTTACCTTTCAGTTCGAAATAATGGTGAGAAAGTACATCAGAAAAACCTATACAAGTTATATTCCTGAAAACGTAGTAATTTTAGAAAAAATGGTAACGGATCAATCAGAAATTTAGCAGAGAGATGGATTTAAGAAGTCCATGTTACATAAAAGAGTAAAAAAACTGAATAAAAAAAAATAAATGATACAGAAATATCCGAAATAAGGTTTTCATCAAAACATACAACACAGCAGATTTTTTAAATGAAGAAGAGAACAGTCTAGTAAATTATATTCTTCAATCTTCGAAGTTACAGTATGGATTAACCTACTTCCAAATTCGTACATTCGCATCTGAGTATGCTCTGAAGCTTGAAAAAAATGTTGAAAAAGTCATGGTCGGAAAATTATTTGCTGGAATTGATACATGTTTTTTGATAATCTAGAAACTGTTTACAAAACGTGCAAATTTACTAGGGCTAGATAAAGCGGAGTGAACACTGTTCTGCAAATGCCAAAAGTGGTCGCAAATAAAGGCTGTAAGCAAGAGGGACAAACAGTTGAAGCAGAGAGGTAAGCAAGTGACGTTTGTCGAAATAATCATTGTCAACGGAAATGCTATTCCACCAATTTATATTTTCCCACGAGTGCGATTTAAAGAGTCATTCCTGACTGGAGCTCCAGTCGTTGGATAACCAACGAGGGATTCCTCAAAGTTGTAAAGCATATTAAAAAAAATACATGCTTCTAAGGAAAACCCTGCGTTAATACTTTTGGATAACCATAATACACATGCAATGTTAGATGTTATATTGTATTGAAGGGAAAAATGTTTAGTATTCTTAATGTTTCCTCCATACATAACACATCGTTTGCAGCCTCTAGATGTGTGTGTATTTGGTCCTTTTAAGTGTCTTTGTCGTGCAGAATTCAACTTATGGATGTCTACACATCCGGCAAAAGCTATAACAATTTATGACATTGCACATCTAACAGCTCCAGCTTTTGACGAAGCATTTAATATGAAAAACATTATTTCTGAGGTTTTAAACACTGGTTATTATCCTTTTAAAGAAAATATTTTTCCCCAGAAGATTTCATAGGAACTGAAGTTACGGAAGTCACAACTGATTATTGTCTAAATTGCAGTACACTCTCTAATTCCGAAATGCCTTCGGCAAATATTCAACCACAAGTCAACAATAATTTTCAACCTGTTTTAACTACCGAAAAACAAAAATCCAAAATTGTAATTATTTCCAATGTAAAACTTACCACGAAACAAATTGGTCCATACCCAAAGGCCGTGAGAATAAGTTCTAAGAAAGGAAGAAAGAAAAAAATTTCAAGCATTCTGACCGCTACACCAGAAAAAATAGGTTACAAGAAAGAAAGGCAAGCAATATAGAAAAGAAAAAATCCAAATCCTGTATTCGCAAAGTTTTTGATGAAGAGGCATCAGAAAGCGAAATTGAGAATTATTGCGAAGAATCAGATGATAGTCTTATGGAAGTTGAGACTGAAGATGGTAAAGTTTTTAGTAAAGGTAAACTATAATTTCTAGTTCTGAGTTAAGCATCTCTGCGAAAGAATACTCAGTGCAAACAGTACACCTCCAATGCCCAGGTCTTTTCTAATATATCTTCTTATGTATTCTATTGTGAATTACTTTTAAAAATAAAAGCATTATTTCCATGATATAAATCATTCATCAATTTATATCCCATTTTTTTCATGCCACTGTTTTGGATGTAAGTTATATAAACAAGCTTCCAGGCAGGATAAGACTCCATTTTCATTTCTAAAAAATGTAAGGTCCAACTCAATATAATCAAAAGCTATTTTTACAAAAATCACAACTGGACTTTAAGACAGCTGATTTAATAATATTTTATGGCGTGACAAAGTATTCAATCAAGATTAAAAGTGAAACCTACAAAATAGCAATAGCTTTGAAATCAGTATTTCCACCACTAGAAAAAAAAAACCAGTACTTTCTGCTGGATCACATATACAGGCAAAATATCAACAAAAATAGCCAAACACATAAAAAAGAAAGGAAAAACACCAGCTTTCAGAACAAACAACTGAGGCAAATATATTAAAAACAATAAGAGCCAAAATAAAGATAACTTACACAGTGGTGTATACAAACTGTGGCAACATAAATGTGGCAACTGCCAAAAACTTACATCAGTCAAACTGGTAGAAATTTCATGCTATAACGAATAGCATAACATAAATGGACTATAAAGACTATAAAGTGTAAACACATACCAAAAATAGAATACTTGAGAAAGGCACTCTGCCCAAACCTCTATAGTGATAAGATTTTATAATAATTTTTGTGGAAGTTTTGAAAACAATGTTTTCAGTGTTTTATTGTTACATAAAATGAATTTCCATCAAGTAATGATCGAATCCATCACTTAAAATAGCAATAACATAAATTAAGTACAATAAAAAAACAAACCAGGTACAGCTGTAGTTTGAATATACCTGGATAAAACCAATCTCAACAAATATTTTTCTGAATGTATGTTCTTTTGAGATCATAAGTTGCTATTAGTTATATAATTGAAAATTGGTAATATAACATAACAGCAAAATTAAAAATTTCAACCTCTAAATCAAAAGCTGTTTCCTATAATTTTGTTAATGTCTTTCGTTAAGACTAAGAAGTGATGTTAAAAAAATGGGGTTCAATTAGCTGGCAAACATTGTATAAAAGAACATATGCATATTCTTTGATTGCATATCACACTAAGGCAAGCTAACAAAATGACAATAGTGTCAAATTTTAAATGAATTTAAAACTCACATGTTTTTATTCTTGTATAAGACAATGCCTGAATCAGGCAAAATGATATTAGGCATTGCTATTGGATTTAATTCCATTAATACATAAAGATTTATAAATTAGTTAACGATGCATTTACATTTTAGTATAGAACTTACAAGTCTTCTGTTGATTCCTGAAGGGGCATTTCTGAATCCTTTTATACTTTGGAAAACTCCTCCTCCAATCAATCCCATTGTGAAAGCGCCTCCACAGTCGTCTACGATTCTCCAGGGACAAGGTTCTCGCGTGTATTCTTCCATTATATTATTATTTTATATTATGATTTTACACTTGAAATTCTAACCTATAAATAATGATTTCGTAAGATTTCATCACGTATTGCTGAAAGCACATAAATACCTGTTGTTTTTGATAAACACTAAATAATGTTAGGAGTTTTTATGATCGATCGGACAATTATTGAATTTTACACTTCAAATATACCACCACATTGGGAACATGCAAAGGTCGAACTGGGACAAAAATATCACTTCTATTTTAATGAAATCTAAACTTCTCTGATAAACATAATACACGGTACTGTTGTTCGTCTGTTTTAATTTAGTTTTTTCTGAGTTGTTTGAATTTTTGAGATGACAAGAAATTTTACATTGTCAATTTTTCTTTAGAGGTTATAAGAGGAAAATCGAAATCGTGATTGGCCCGTTGACCGAAGCCAGCCGAAGCTAATGGAACATGTGACACAACAATGATATCAATGCGTGGTTGCCACATTCTGTTGTTAAAGCTGTGGTTAAAGCTAAATTTGTAGATACAGACAGATACAGAACAAAACATAATAATCTAAACACATCGAGTTAGAATCTGTAACAATAACTTAAACTATTTGCTGTAAATATGGCTCTTTAAATCAAAGTATTTAACGAAATAAAAGTAATACACTTGAGTGCAAAACAATCGACTCAAAAGCGATATTTGAGATTACACCTTCTGTTTTAATGTATAAAGTATGAAAATAACAAGATGTAATGTGCAAACAGTAACTTTATTATTGATCTTACAAAAACTGCTATTTCAGTATTTGGAAGACGCATTATAAAAACAATATGCAATACAAACAGAGTTTCTCAAATATTCATCATTGGAACTATCCCAAGAAAGACGTAATGAACAGAGAAATCATCAATTCCCAAATGATTTTTTTTTGCTTTTCAGTATCTGATATTACCACCCCTACTTCTAATTACACTTTCCAATCGATTTCGCATGGATCGGATAACTTTTCTAATAAATTCTTGAGGCATTGCTTCCCATTCATCATTAAGGTGGTATGTCACAATGTTAAAATTTATATACTTTTTAGGTACAGTTATCGTCACTATTTCAAAACAGATCTTCAAGTTATGATTATGTACGTAAACTGTAAACTTTCTATTTTAATGATATCTAGTTAACATTTTCAAAAACAGCAGTATTTTTTTTCATAACTGTACTTAAATGCATCCATGTCATAACTTACGTGGTAACGTGCCTAAAAATTGGTATTGTGAAATAATTATTGAACTTAGGTGCAAAATAACTACGTTAAATGATTAACTATCCAAAAACCTTTATTTTAAGCAAATGTTTGTTATCCATACTGCCGTAATTTTTAAATTAACTGTACCTAAAGATAAAATTACAATTAAAAGCTGCAAACTAGGGATTTTGTTGATGTTACCGTAATAAGTTGGCATTTTTATAGTGAGAAATTAGTTCAGCTATCACTTAACAGATGAGAAAATAAGTTCACGTGTCATTTAGTAGAAGGCAGCACTGATGTATTAAATAGCGATAGATGCGCGTTTGCCGAATTTAAGAAAAATCTGCAAAACATTGAAAACTAGTTTTGTGGTTATTCCAATTGTCTATGAGTTATGCAGTAACCATAGTAACGAATCACGTGGTTTTGTTATCAAGGCGGCCTCTCCCAGTAGTTAATATTGTGGCTTCGTTTGACTTTCTTTCTCTTTCTATGTTCAATAATGATTGTATAAGGATAAGGGAACAATGTCTTAAATATACAAGTATACCATTTTTTTCCTTGGCACCCTGACGTTATATAATCGTGGTTGAAAGTCAAACTATGGTCAGTAAAGTTTACTGCGGGATTATACTGGTTTTTACATAATATATAAACATAAAAACAATTCGTTTTATTAAATTTTTAACAAATTTAATTTTTATAGACAAAACAATAGTATGTAATGATCGATTAAATTTTGTCGATTAATTATTTCCGGAAGAAAATAAGATTATTGATATTTACTTTAATATTTACTTGAGTCATCATTAGAAACGAGATGAAAATCTGAAATTTTCTGAGGAAAACACTTCCCTGTTGACATTATAATAATTATTATAAATATATTATTAATAAATAATGTTATATATTTTAGATTTCTTATAAATACTGTTTTTATACATAAATAGTCGATCCAATTACCATAATCCCTTTTTGATCATTATTTAATTACCTGTTTTTCAAACAATTGCAAATTTCTTTTCAGTTTGAAATAAATATTTTTGGGTAGATAAATAATTCAGACTTGTCGCCTGAAATATGAGTAATAAAATACCTCCAAATGAATCATGATACTAAGACTTCCAAGATAAACCCATTTCGCAATCGAATTTTGTACATCGACGCGCATGACGTCAATTGGTGATAAAAGTCACTTTTATCACCAACCTTTGATCATCACAGTCGGTAAAACATATATGGAAAGAAAGGGGTTTTTATTTAAATATTTAGAATATTAAGGGATGTTAGGTAAAATATCTGCAATTAAATCTTAAAAATATGTTATTACATCTCTGTTAGCCTAGCAATGTAAACTAAAATTATATAAAAAAGTAAGAACTAAACATTCTTTTGCAAATGGAAATTTATATACAATGGATTGATTTATTAAAATAAAAATTTAATACAACCGGTAAAATAAAATACACTGTAATAATTTACAAGTTTATTTAACAATTTTTAATATTTTCTTCTTCTTAACTTTGGATGTTTCCTTAATATATCTATTCAATTTTCTAATTTTAAAATATAATTTACACCTTTACTAACATTACATCTGAACACAGCTAAATCCATTAGCGATTTTAAATAATTCTTGGTTAATTTTAATGACCCTTTGTTAAAATTGTTAAAAATATGGTCCAGTTCATTACATTTAATTAGAAAATCTGGATATGGTTTAAGTAAACCTCCTTCGGAAAGATGGTTTACCCAGTAAACCGATGTCAACGTACAAGATAAACGATAAAACAAAACTAAATCTCAAGGTTAGTAGATATTTAAGTAGATACTTAAATATCTACTAACCTTGACTAAATCTGACAAAACTCCATACAACACAGAACATTTCTGGTGACATTTGTCGCCAAGTGACGTCACACGACTGATCGCATGCGCGTGGGTTTATCTGTAGTTTATAGTATCATGCAAATGAATGAACCTTTTTTGTATACAAGGTCAAGTAACAAAAATCCCTAATCAGCACATCCAGCTGATTGCTGTTGTAAGTGTAAGGCAATTAAAATTTATGACGTCTGGGAATGTAGTATCATCATTATTTAGAATTGCATAGTATGCTTAGATACAGTTTGTCGAATTTGGGAAACTGTATTAAAATAAAATCACACTTGTGTAATTTGATACAAAATTAAGCTTTTTGTACAGTAGACTTGCGATTATCTGAGGTAATTGGGACCGTGACTACCTCGGATACCGAAAGAACTCTGTCACTGAGATTGGTTATACTGATAGAAAAATGTGTACCTATGTTAATAATGATTAATGTGTTTATTTTAATAACTAAAAACTGATATAAAAGTAGTATAAAAGATAAAAAAATTAATTTATAAATGTTTTAAAAAAGTCTTTGATTGATTTTTGTTTCAACTTCAGTCCTCTTTTTGGGGCGGCGATGTTGCGCCAACGTTGAAAATGAAGGACGTCTAATGGTGTTGATTCTTCTTGTTGCTCAATGTATACGAGAGCTGCTTCAAGGGACTTAAATCCTTCGGAATGAGAAATCTTTTGAGTTATCCCATCTGTATCTTCTTCTTCTTCTTCATGGGTGACGTTTAGACCTAGATTGGCAATTGTATCATCTGTCAGTTCCACTTCTTAATCTAGATTCCTCCAATCGATGATGTCTTGTTTTACGATTGTTTGTTCTACTGGTAACTGATTGGCTAGGTGGGCTATAGAATCAACTTTACAGTCATCAGTTTCATTTTGAACGTCTTGTGTTTTGTTGTCTATCTTAAATAATTTTTTCCACAACTTCTGAGTAGTGGACATTTTTACGTCGTCCCAGGCAGATGTAATCCAATAGCAAACATCTTTAACCGTGATCTTCTTCAATGCCTCAATTACAGTCAGCCCTTCATCCAGTTTATAGTTAGCAGTGGCTGAAGATATGCAGAGTACCTTGAGATATGCAGACGATATAGTCCTGATAATAGATAAGAAGGAAGAGTTACAGAAGATGGTTGAGAAACTAGATAGAAAAGCGACAGAGATAGGTCTAGAGATGAACTATAGTAAAACCAAGATTATGACAAACCAAGAAGACCAATTAGAAATAGTAGTCAAACAGAATAAATTAGAGCAGGTGGCAGAATACATATACCTAGAACAGATAATAAAGTTGAACAGGGACAATCAAACAGAAGAAATAAAAAGAAAAACTAGACTAGCATGGGCCTCATTTGGTAAACTATCATATATACTAAAAAATAAAAAGTTCCCTAAATATATGCGAACGAAAGTATTCAACCAGTTCATTTTACCAGTTATCACATATGGCTCACAAACATGGACTTTCACAAAGGAGAACATCGACAGGATATCCAAAACACAAAGAGCAATGGAAAGACACATGCTGGGTATCGGTCTTAAAGACAGGAAAAAAAAAATCATGGATCAGAGAAAAAACAAAGGTGAACGATGTATCAAGACAGGTTGCAAAACTTAAATGGAACTTCGCCGGTCACACTCTCCGGCAAAAAGATGAAAGATGGAATAAGCGAATTCTACACTGGAAACCATGGGAAAAGAAAAGAAAAAGAGGAAGACCACAGATGAGATGGACTCACGCTCTTAAGAGAAAGGCAGGAAGGGACTGGATGTAGATCGCCCAAAATAGAGACCAATGGAAATTAACAGGGGAGGCCTATGCCCAAGAGTGGGCGTCTAAGGCTGATTAGATAGATAGATAGATAGATAGTACCTGAAGAAGCTTCCGCCAATAATTCCTCTTCATTCCTTATATAACGTTTTGGTCTAGGGTTGGATGAGAGATGTTACATGGGGTGGAAGGAACACAGCTTGTATGTCACCACTAATCAATTCCCTCACATATGGGTGGGATCGTGCGTTGTCCAACAACAACAAAGCTTTTTGGACCAATCCACTACCACCACTCACACTTCGGTTTTCCCACTGTTCGATTTCATTCGGCTTACGCTTCCAATATCCAACAGTTACTTCTCCGACATCTAAATCTAAAGAAACCTTCTTTATTGATTCACCCTTGTCCAACCTCTTAATTGTATTCACTTTTGTTTCCAAATTGGACGATCTGAACGACAGCAAACAAATCGGTAGTTTAATTCACATTGATTAACATAGAAAGTAACAGGAAGTTGTAGACAAAACACCACACAGAAATTTCTGCACATGAAATCTCTTTCACATCAGCTTGACCTAAAGCATACCTTACAAATAATTCTCTTCTTATCAATAATCCAAAATTTTCAATTGATTGCCCATATAACAGCTGCCGATATAACTTCTGACCATCGACCCCTTTTTTTATTACTCGATATTGTGATTCAACAAGTACGACTATAAAGGTAAATAAAGGTAAAACCAAGGCAAAATTTTGCCTCGATTAACCTACGGTACCTAAAAGTATATTCGAAGAAGCTTCCGAAGAAGCCCAAATTTAAATTACCTCCAATCGAGTTCAAAAATTATTCAGAGATTGCAGTCTAGGTTTGGTATAGAGGATCTCCAAATTGAAGTTTACATTAGAGAGCTCTCAAAGTTAATTTTAAGTCGAGTTTCTTAGTATTATATATATATATATATATATATATATATATATATATATATATATATATATATATATATATATATAATATATAATATATAATATATTTGTAATATTTCTGCTCTTTATGATATGATTGATAGTCAACTTCGTTCACTTGAGACCTTAGACAAAACTGCTGACAAGTTAGCGGCGATATAGTATCCTCTTATTAAGTCATGTCTGCCAGAAAATATGATTCGACAATGGCATCTCATGTTTTCGTGTCCATGGAAAATATTGGAAAAACTGCAGAAGTTACAACTTTAAAAACACACTTTAGAGTGGGTTAATGACATTTTCACAGAGTGAAGTTTAAAATGAAAAAAAATTTATTTAGCAACGGAAGCTTTTCGTTTACTAAGCTGAAAATGAATATAAATAGTCTTATTGCCAAGATAAATGTAAAATTACAAAGAACTGATCAGTCCTTAGCGTCCTCTGATGGGTTAATAAATTATGAAATTTACAGGTGTATAATTTTATTATAAGTAATTTTTTCTACTTGAAATAAATTTAGTTTTTTACAAAACTAATATGCACCATTTAAAATGTTTACAAAAAAAAAACAAAACAAAAAAAAAACAAAACAACAATTTAACTTCAAAGGTAAATGAACCTTAACGCAACACGATACAAAAATTAAAAAATGATATGGAATGATCCAATTATCCAATCCAAAAATTAGAATTTGTGAAACTTCAAATCAAATAATACGATAGCGCAATTTCAACTTACATTGCAGAAGACTGCCCACCGAGAGCGAACTATACCGATTCTCCCGATCGTATATTATATTTTAAGATCCAATACTTGGCCTCGTTGGCAACACTGTCGCTGTTCAGATAATTAAATTTCGAGAAAATCAAAATATTAAAATATGATGCACGTGCTGCCATCTATTCAAGAAATTGTTAAACGTTAGTTTATTTGAACACCACTCATTTTAACTGCGGCGTGAACATACCCCCTTAAGTACAGCTCTTAATTCCATTATGCTCCTTGGTGCATGATTTCTGCTCCGGACCCTTCGTTTAAGCTCATCCCAAATATGCTCTATTAGATTTATGTCCGGGCTCAACGCAGGCCAATTTATTGTAGGTATACCGATCTCAGTCAGATAGGTGGTGGTCACTCGTGCGGTATGACATCGTGCATTATCATGCAATAAAATAAAGGCATTGCCAATAAATCCCGCGTATGGAACCATATGTTCCTCCAAAATATCTCTGATGTAACGATCCGCCGTTAAACCTCCTCCACGTCCCCCACCAGGCACGAAAACTAGCTCGGTTTTCCCATCCATGGAAATGCCTGCCCAAAACATACAAGAACCGGCTCCTTATGACACAATATATGTCTCGTATACAACATTGAGTAAATCGTTCCAGTGGCGTTCTATAGACTTGACGCCTCTTGTCGTTGCCATGTAGTCAGATCCTACCTTCGTCGGAGAATAATACCTGACTCCATTGATAGTCGTCCCAATCCAAATGTTCGCGAGCAAATTCTAGTCGTCTTTGCTTATGGGCTGCAGTTAGCTTGGAACTAGTAGCTGCCCTTTTTAATGTTAGGTTGGCTGCTTTCAGTCTCCTTCTGACTGTCCAAACGGTGGTAACTACACCTCGGACCTCTCAGCTCTTCTTTGAGATTAGCATCTATCAAATGTAGATTTCTCAGAGATTTCGATACAAGAAATCGATCATCTCTTTTTGTTATTATTCGTTTACGACCTCCTCCTTATCGGCGGACATAATCACCAGTATCTTGGTACCGAGGATACACTCGGGACACAGCAGATTCTCTTAAATTTAGTCGATTTGCCACGGCTCTCTGGCTCAGGGCTTCTCTCAATAATGCTACTGCTTGAGCTGATTTGACGGATGTGGTATCCATTTGTTATGAAGTTGCGAACCTAATTGACTGATGTATTAGTGGGTTGCTATGGAAATTGATGCTTACGATGTTAACCAAATGTGTTATGTGGGTGCGTCTCGATTTCAATGGGTCAAATTATGACCTCCTCTCTACGTGTTGCATTATTTACTTGTAATACGTCACCCGATTTATCAAAAATCAAAACTTTTTCAAACTAAATAATGAGGTTAATAATTGTACACCAAATATTTTTAAATTTACACCTTTTTAGATTGAAATAGGAGACTTACTTTCGCAAAATAATTTTGAGTCGATTTTTTTGCACTCAAGTGTAGATATAGTCTGTTCGGTGAATCCTTTCCATGTCTTACTGCATGCATAAAATTAGTCCGCATGTCCGTGATTAAATATATTAAATATAACACACAATAGATAAAATATATTAAAAACACAGACATAATATAATAAAGGACAAGGATACCAAAATAATTATAACTAAAGCAAAATAATAAGCTTCATGCGACAAAGAAAACTGATGCAAAGCAGTCCCTGCATCTGTACCTAACCTAACCTAACCTTCTTGATCTGTTTCTAATGGGCCGTGCTTATATATTGATCACGTAACCTTCTCATTGATCATGTAGGTCACATGGTCGATAAACTTGGCAAATTAGAAAGAGATGCTCGAACTGCTTTGCGTCAATTTTCTCTGTCGCACTGGGAAATGGAGTTGTGTTGCAACCATCGAGCAGTAAGACAAAAGAGGGAATCTAATCCTTATGAAAAGGAGACCAAAAAGTGGCCTCTGATGGCGGACATATCCGGAAATGCGAATGCGCGAAATTTAAATTTTCCGACACTTATCAACAGTAGCTATATAATATTTTTCAGAATGTGTCTTAGACGAGAAAGTTTTAATTAATTATTAATGATAAGAGTCTAAAATGCGACACAATTGTTAAAAAACTTCAATATAAATAAGATTTCATGTGACATTTGGGACAAACAATAACATAACCCAACTAAATTTGATGTCAAACAAGGAGAGATACTCTCTATCCTTGTTTAAAGTGGCCTCTAAAGATCGCACTTCCTGTCTAACAATATGTTTGCCCCCACTACCTTTACATTCCCTCTATTGTCTTTTTGCTCGATGGTTGCAACGCGATCAACCAGACTACCCCAGGTGAACCCAATCTGGTCATACACGTTTAACTTGTTGCGATTTAATTAGGTAATATAAATTGAATTATGACGCAAGTGTGTTGAATATACAAACCATCATTGTCAAATTTATAAATTGGATTAGGTGACCTTGTAGCAAAGAATATAAAAAGTAGCAAAGCCTTTATTCTTTGCTTGTATCTTAACCCAAGAATATAGACGCATGCGTCTATATTCTTTGGTTTGACCCTTGATTTTCATTTTAATTAAATTGCATTTTATTATTTTTGAATGCATTTGGAATATATTTTTTGAGGAATGATAAGAGGGCCCAGGGATATAACAGCGAACGGAAGAAAAGTGGTGCTTTAAATTGTAGGAAGCTGCTTTCTAAAATATTAATAATTTTATGTAAATGATAAATGGTTCAGTATAACAATTATATTACATTAATGCACCAATATGTTTACAGTGCACCATACATAGAACAATAACAGGAGTTCAAAATGTGTAAATCTATTATTAATGTATACATTTGGCAACGTTGAGATTAAACTTTCATTGGAGGCAAATTTGAAAAAACTATTTTTGGAAAAGAAAATTTTCTAAAAATAACTAAAAGAGAAGTCACCTACAATCTAAAAATATGTCTTTTCTCTTTAGACCTCGTGTTGTGAAGCTTGTAGTTTTACGCCTTAAGCATTGAAAATGGCAGAGGCTCAGGTAAATTTTATTAAATTCGTAAGTGAAGCTAGAAATATCTTAATAGTGTCTGTTTTGCAGGTTTCAAACGTAAACCATGAAGAACTGTTAAGAAAGGTGGATGATTTAGAAAAACGTTTGCAGGTATGTATTTCCGGGTGGATGAGTATGTAAATAAATCTTTAATGGTGCACTATAAATACATTAACGATGTTACTTTAACTATTTGCTTGTGTAATGATAAATTAATTGTAGTAATGGATTTGATGGGCCAAATATTGATAGCATAAACATTAGTTCTATTTTATGACGTTATTGTAATGTAACGTCATATTTTTACGCCATAAGTAAAAATAATAATGGCTTACGATTGATCTAATTTTTATTATTTCAATGAAGTTTTTTCAATCGATTTACTTATGCTTCTTTCTTTATAATAAATTCTAAAGCTTCCTAAAATTTACCATAGCAAAGTTCCTGTTTTTTTGCTACGCTTTATTGTAGATCATGTTTCATAATACTCCTCTTTCAATAGTACGTAAAGTATTTTTTTTTACCGTCAATGTCTTGTGCAACATAATTTTAATATAGTTGGTTCACTCAGCCTGAGAATATTTTGGGAATATTTCCTTATTCTAAACATACAACACAAAAATGAGTAACATATTTTATTAATAGCTTAAATAAACTTAATAATTTTTTACTTTGTTACAATTAATATTGGGCTATGAGCAATATTAATTTGTGCTTGGTTGTGTAGTAACTTCCATCCACTTCCAGTCAGTCAAAGCTTTACGAACGTATAAAAAAGGAATTTATTATAAAGATGATTACTATTTACTAGACAGTTACTTCCAGAATACAATAGAAGTTTACGCATATTATTTTAGATGATTATTTTGTATATTTGTAGCTAATTTTTTCTTTCCTTCTTTTTTCAAGATTCTTGGATAGTTGACTATCTTTTATAAATGTATATCTGTATAATCATCTATGCATATCCATAGAACATGTTTTTCTGTTGGGTGTGTGAAATCTTCTAAAGACGTGTGTTGAATTCAGAGTAAAGGGATACGCCCGAGTGTGCTGCCTATCAACTAAAACCACCCTCAGTCACACACGCGCGGCTAGTCTTATTTAGACCGTCCTAATACGTATGTCCTTACTTCTCTTCTTATTTTCCCTTTAGAGTTTTATGTCTGTTTTCTTTCCCATTCTAGTATCTCTGTCCTTTTTATTATACTAGTTATTGCCATCAGGATTTCGTTGTTTTCATTTTCTCCTCCTCCCGCTACTTCCATTATGTTATTCGCCCACCCTTTCGTATTTTGATATGAACCTTTTTCAATCGAGCACACAGTGTTCGGTCATGTTGTTAACCCCGCAGTCAACGCAGTTGCCGTCTTCTTGGTTCCCTATCCTTAGCAGATACTCTAGGTAGGCTCTAAAAGAGCCGTGCCCCGTACGGAAATGTGTGAAAAAGTAGTTAGTCTCCCTATGGGCGTGTCATACCCAGTCTCTCACGTCCGGTATGAGTATTCTTGTCGATTCAGCGCTATGTTTGTTTTCCTACTCTTTTTTCCAATCTTGTCTTGCAAACATCATTGCTGATCTTATGACAGATTTGCAAAATTTGCTTACATTTTCACTAGAATTTTTCTGCCACTTCCTACGCCTTCCATTTCATCTGTCACGCTCTTACTCTACTGCATACACCTCCATATATTTGCCCATGACTCTGTAATATTGATCTTAAATACCTATAAAATATTAATTTTTACAATAATTTCACTTTATATTTTACTATGTTCACATTATTAATTTTAATTTGTACACTCACCGAGAACACCTGTATAAGTTTATTGCTTGATCCCTATAGTTTTTATCAACTGCTTCATAATAAAAATTAAAGTTGCGTGAATCCAAACTGATTTTCGAATATTTCGGTTTATCTACTTCTCTCTATTTTTTGTTGTTCTTTGCCAACTCCTTTGTTTATAATTTTTATATATTAAAACCACAATTTATACCCTTCATCTAATGCTTTTATTCCTTGTCTACTTCGTCTCTTGGATGAAAACAATTTGTACTTCCCTCTTTTAAATGCATCCACCAACTCCATGCTCCTCCAGCTAGTCTTCCAAGATTCCAATGTAACCAAAACCATTATTACCCCGCACCCGCTTTCGTTTTTCAATTTCTTTTTTTTTTCAGTTTAAAGTATTGTTTGAATCATCTAAGCAGTTGAGTTGTCTTTTTCTTCATTTGCAGCTGTAGGTTATTATTTTCCGGTGTGTTATTAACATGTTAGATATGTCGTCGTTTTTCCTGTGGGTGCGAGTAGGAAATTGTTCTTTAGACTTTTTCATCATCATTGTGGCTTTACAAGCCTGGATGGATCCTAGTCTCTTCAAGAATTTCTCTCTAGTCGTCCCTATCCATTGCCTTCCTTCGCCAAGCACGTATTTCCATATTTTTTATGTCTTCATTTATGTTATCATGGAACCTTGTTCTGGTTCTTCATCTTCTTCTCTGACCAGAGAAGGCTTGTTACTTAAGTTAATACACATATTCATCAACATAATTATTAGATGTTTTGCGCCCACTGCAGAACATAGGCCTCCCGTAAATAATCTATTTCATCCGATCTTGAGTACCCTGAATCTAGTTGTGCTAAATGCGCTTGATGTCGTCTGACCACCTTGTTGGAGGACGTCCTCGATTACGATAAGTATCATGTCTAGGTCTCCATTCTAAAGCTTTTGGGTCCACCTTCCATTTCTGACTCTGGCAACATGTCCTGCCCAGTTCCATTTCAACGTTGTAATTCTTTTAACTACGTCTATAACACCAGTTTTTCTTTTCTAACTATTTGATTTGAAACTATATCTCTGAAACATGAGTATTCAACATTGACCTCTCCATTGCTCTTTGTTTCACTTATATCTAATTGACCACTTTTCTGGTAAGGGTCAATATTTCTGCTCCTTACGTTAGAACTGAAAGTACACATTGATCAAACACTTTTCTTTTCAAGCACATGGAAATATCTTATCTAAAGACTTTCTTTAGTTTTCCGTAAGCTAACTCATATACAAGAGCTCTGAAGGTATTAAAGAAGTTGACAGGCATGATCTACTCGGTCTACAATAAGGACTATGTCGTCTTCAAACCTTAAGTTAGTCAGAAACTCCATTTATGTTGACCCCAATATTTTTCCAATTATTGTTTTACAAGTCACTCTGTAACAAAGCGGTGAATAGTTTAGGAGAGATAGTGTCTCCTTGCATAATACCCTTATCCAAGGGAAATGTGTCGCCCTAGTACATTCTCACTGTAGCTGTTGCGCTATTATATATTTCGAAGACAATTTGTTTATCTATGATGTACAGTACTAATCATATACCTATGATCAGTACTGCACTCTGTAAAAGCTCTTAACATGAAGCTATTCTGGACTAGGATAAATACTTTCTTAAAGTCTACAAATATTAATATCAATGGCTTGTATTCTATTACTTTTTCTATCAAATATTTCATTATTTGTAGGTGGTAATTCGTTCCGAAGACGGTTTGCTCTACTGGTTGGTGAAAATCTAGCTTAGGTCCCAGTCTGTTAGTAATTATTCTCATAAATAGCTTATATAAATAAGATAACAAGGTGATGGGTCTGTATTTTACAATTTCTGCTACATCATCTTTTTGCAGTAGTATCATATCAGTATTCATTTTTTTCTGGTGTAATTTCTTCAAAGAGGCAGGCATTATAAAAAGTTTTTAAAGTTTTAATGACGCATTCGCCTCTTAGTTTTATCATTTCACCTTCAACGCCATATTCTCCAGGTGTTTTGTTTTTCGTTATATCTTTTAACGCCAATTCAATTTCCTCTTCGGTTATGCCTGGCAGTTCTTCTGATACTTGTTTTTGTATTGCTGGGATTTCTACCTCTGGAATGTGAGCATCTTGACTATACAGCGTGTCAATTTTAAAACTTACAATGGGCTATATTTCGCGAACAAAAGCTGATATCGAAAAATGCTTGAACCCGTTTCTAGATAATAAGGGGGAACTAAAATGACATGAAAGAGAACTCACCCACATTAACTCCCTAAGCACCAACCACCACAATTAAATTTAGTTTAAACCTGTAGTTTAGTGTATTGTGCTTAGTGTTGCCCAAAGTCGGTCTTGGTCTTGCAGTCTTGGTCTTGTTCTAGAGTTTTTGCAAGACCGAGAGCAAGACCAAGACTGCCTAATTTTTGCAAGACCAAGACCAAGACTAACCTTTGCAAGACTTGAGCAAGAACAAGACTAAGCGTGCAAGACTCTTGCGTCTTGCAGTTAGGACTGAGTGTGGTTTTAAAGAGTACAATAGTTCGGGTTTATGCTTAGAGACTCTGTGAGATGCAAACAAATATGTAATAAAAATTTGAAAAACTGGACTTATACGCATTACGAACAATACCATAAAAATAGATACCGAATTAAAATATTCATTAAAAAAAAAACACGCAAAGACATAAGACGCAAAGAAGTATTACCAAAAATTTGAAAAATTTGACTTGTGCAATACGAAAAATACCATAAACATACAAAGCGAATCAAAATATTCATTACAAGAACACTTAAAAATTTGACACGTACTCAGAGGTCATAATTACAATCTAAAAATAAAATATTTTGTACATATTTCCCAGCACACTACTTCCTCACTCTGAAATTAATTGTCCAGATTTTGAGAATAGCCCCTTCTAATAATAAAATAATATCTGTGCTTTGCGACGCCGACAGTAATATTGTATCGAAACTTTTTAAAAATGTATCACCTTAGCTGATAAAAAATATAATTAGGTTAGCATGTTTTTTTTCCTTATAATTTAGTTACGAGGAATTTAAATACCACAAATATTATCGGCTAAGACTAAACATCTTTTTTGCTGAGTATGCGATGATACCATTCAAAATTTGCTGAAATAATGCGGCTAATGTTTAAAAGTAACGAGATAAACAAACAAAGAGTTAATACCGATTACAGTGTAAACAAAATACCGATATATTAAAAGTGACGAAATAACGATAATAATTCTCGGTTTTTTATTCGGTACAAGAACTGACAATGACACGGACAATTGAACGATTATAA